TCTCTTTGTCGCGGAGAACCTCGCATGGTAACGAGTCTTTCGAAGATCTTCCGCGTTAAAAGGCGAGTTTCTTGGCGGAGGGATGGGAAGGAAAGAGAGGAGAGGAGAGGAGAGGAGAGAGGAGAAGCGAAGAAGTATGCGATGGTGGCGAGGGGAGAGGAGAGGGAGAGGGAAGGGGAAAAGAAGTACGCAGTTGCACGGCATATTTGCCTTGCATCAAAGAGCTGGAAGGCTCCATAATGGAATTGAGAGGAATTCGCCGGGCTTCCTGTTTACCGAGCTGATTTCTTGATTTTTATTGGCCCCCCCTCCTCGATTGCGGGCTAGGGAATTTTTAACGGTCTTTTGAAGCCTCGAGGACCGAAGGCTGTGGAGTTTGAAGAATCGAATTGCAGGTTTCTTTCTTTCTTTCTTTCTTTTTCTTTTTTTTTTTTGAAAGAGTTTCGTTCCTTCCGAGAAATCGGTAGATAAAGATGATTAAAAATATCGTTCGAGTTGTTTGTAAATGGTAAAGATTATTAGAAAATCGAAGTTTCATTCGTGACATTTTACTTTCAAATGGTTTTTCTAATTTAATTCGAGATTATGAACTCATACCGATGCAAATAATCTCTGTTTATTATATCTTCATGATATATAAACCGTCCAATTGGAATTATTCGATTGTAATTCGATAGAAGGGGATATATATAATAAAAACAAGAAAAGACACGTATCTTCCTCACTCGATTTTCATCACTCCGCTCAATACTCGATTTCTCTGCCTCTAACGCCTCGCACGAGGTAAAACATTTTTAAAAACCGACGAAACGAAAAACGTGGTTCCGTCGCGACAATGGAGAAGGAGAGGAACGAAAAGGGATCGAAATTTCACGACAGGCAATTATTGGCGGTTTTGGATCCGTTGCTGTCGCCCGTGCTGACGGTCGGCCTGACCCTCACGGCTTCAACATCGTGCAATTGATCCAATTAACAACCGACGTAACGGCGAACGAGAGAGCAGCGGAGAAGTGAAGGCGGATAACGAGCGAAGGCGAGGCGCTGTCTGCCGTCGGCGGAGAGGGTGGGCAGGAGAAGGAAATCCTTGATGATAATCTCTACCCGGTGTCGATCGGATTCGCGAGGGATATCTGCTCGATCGCGATCCACGGGTTGGGCGCCGGCCTCTTCACCCCTCTGGCGCCTGTCTACGTCGGCCAGATATCGGATCCAAGGTCGAGGAGCGTGTTGCTCCGCCTGATAGACGTGGCAGTAGCATTCGCAACTTCTAATCGTCAACCACCTCCACACGCTTATTTACATTGGAGAATCATCGTTCGTGTCTCGCCCGCCACCCTCCTCGAGAGAACTCCTTGTGGCCGATGAATCGATCGAGGCAATGGATCCACCTTCGAGGATGGGAATCGAGGATGAACAGATTGCTCGCCGGATATTCCCCAACCGGATTGTCGCGCTTTGTTATCCAAATATTTTTTGTATTCTTCTTGAATTGAACTTGGTCACGCGCCGTCGTGGAATCGTTCAAGATCGACGACACTTGATCGTGCTCGCGCTCAGATCGATCAGGAGACTTGCCACTTGATAACGAAAGATGACTTTGATCTTCAAACACGGGCACCGTGCCCTCTCTATTCGTATCTCTTCGCTCTTCGACTCACGCTCGTTATGCTTGAAGGATATCTCTTTGGCTCGTCTGTTTCGTGGATCCTCAGCGGAGAATCGTTCTCGGGCGAGTTGAGAAGTTTCGGGATCAAGGTACAGGGAGTTTATATAATTTACAGTCTGTTGGTGATAGTCGCTCTCTTGGACCAACGGGAACAACGAGACTCTGCCGCGGATAGGAGCGACGTTCGACGATGAATTCGAGGATTCCGATTCTGAAACGATCTAGGAAAGGAACATGTTTTTTTACAGCGTGTAATTTAAATTTCTCTTATTTCTATCCAATCGTCCGAAGGGCGTACAACTTCGTGATCGTATAACGTAAAAGGATCAAGAAATTTTGCATTTTTGAATAATCGTAGTTATTATTAATTACATTGTTTGTTATCTATAAATATAGATATTTTAATAGTCGATAAGTTGACAAGATTTGCCGCCACTGACGTAACCGATCGTTCTTGATGCTTAAACATTTAAAACAGTATATTAATGTGCATGTTTAATGTACAATACATATAAATGTAAATATACTTTAACATTGTCACAAATTATCGGTTACGAAGTTGGATATAAACTAAAATTTCTTTTATTATACATTTTTTATAAAAATTGGTATTATAAAATTCGATCATGAATTCAATTAATAATCGTTCAAGAAGATTCTTGAATTGAAAATTTTAGCGCTCTATTACGGTAGCGGAAAATTCGGTGTTATCAGCCGTGCGATTTATAACATATAAGGACAATCTCGGGCCAATTTCCCATGCGAGACGTGCCCAAAATGCGCACAATCTTCATGAATGCATAATGCGTACACCACCCCTTCGATTCGAGAAAGTTTCTCGAATGGGGTGAAACGAGAACTAATGCTTTCTTCTCCTCGTCTTTCTATTTTCTTTCCACGAATAACGGAAACTCTTTCTCGAATATTCTTGCCTCCTGTAATGTAAAATCCTAGCCAATTAAGTAAATAATATATTCCATACACTCAGAATCAATATTCAACTCAGTGATTTGATTGAATTGTGATTTACAAGATGTAGTTAATATATTTACAATATTGTTTTTTATATACGTGTAATTTTTCCAAGTTGAATTTACATATAAGAAAATCTATTTTTATCTATCATGATAAAATAATCATATGGATAAATCAATCAACGTGTAATTTGCACGTGTAATTCTCTGCAAAAATAAATATACGATTTACGCACGTCTCAGTATCGTGTTAAAAGTTTTCCAATTCGAATTTAAAATGTTGTAAAAATATAATCTATGAGAAATATGAAAATATTGTCGCCATCGACTTTATTAACTTTATCAACAACGCGCTCTCTGTTCGATTCGATACCAAGAATATTGCTCGAAAGAATTTCCCGTCAAAAATAATTTTCGTCTCTTCCGAGAACAACGAAGAGGGATTTAGAGGCTCGTGAAGGATTCGTTCTGGCATGGTGATGGCAGCTGCGATTTAAGGGCAAATTTGTCGGCGAAATGAAAATGTAACCTCATAACTCTTCCTCCTCCTGTGAGCATATCCAGTGGTATGCATAGTCCGACCGCATCCACCGGTTTTATACACTCCATAAACATTCCTCCAGATTTTCTCGTAGTACCTCGATGTGATCATTCCGCCTCTATTCAAACAGCCTGTTATCTGTCCGCGCTGTGTTGAAATCGCGTGTGTTTGTCCAATTTGTTAACCGGGGAGATAGATAAATGAACCGGTCATGCGAATTTCCAATATTTTACTCGACTTGTTGTTTTTTTTTTTTTATTCTCTTCGCTTTGTTCACTCCATAATTTTAGGTTTAAATTATTTAATTTTATTTTAACGTTACGAATTAAAAAAAAAATCTCTCTGCACGATATATCCAACGTTACACAATTTTCGTGTGGATCAATGTTAAATCACGTCAGATCGTTTCTAATTTTAGATTCCAAGGTTTTTATACAATTCAAAATTTCGATAGGATGCGATACGATACGAATAAAATGAGAATTGGATTATATAAGATGTAATGTAAATTCATTTCTTTGAATCGTTTTCTTTCCCGAGAGAATAATTTCCAAGACAAAATTGAATTCGATTATAGACAGCCAAAGCATAAATATTTCGTTTCGAAATATTCGTGAGATAAATCGTGCGTTATTCAAGGTAACAACAAACGTTCGAACGCACAAAGGAATTTTAATCCCGACCAGGTGTTCGACTGTGTTATGTATTCTATTCTGAATCATTTCTGTCGCGATTATATTCGACGTAGAGACTCGTCTGTCTCTAAACAACATTTTCGAAAATTCATTTCATAAACGTGAAATTATCGTCACGAAACCGAAGCTGCAAGTAAATTTGCTCGTTGTAAAATCGGACAACCCTCTATTCACCGCCCCTCTTCATCGCGATGAACGTTCCGTAGAGCAGAATCTCGTGCATATGGGATGAATACGTCTCTAACATCGTCTTTATGAAAATTCAAACTGTTTTTAATTGACAGTTTATTGAAAATCTTGCGACGAGACGAGAAGGAAATTGGAAGAATTTGATTATAAAATTATTGCTTCGATTTAAAACAAGAAGTATTTTTACCAAATAATTAGATCAACGAATATTTGACGTAAAACATCAAAGAAATAATCAATTAGTATTATTTTATCAATCAAAAATCTTTGAGAGATAGAATACTACATCTTAAAACAAATCTGCCTCTCTCAAGCAACAATATTCATATAATTTTAATCCAAGAAGAAAGAATTGCATATTACAATTCCATCAAAAATCGATCGCACACTGTTAAACAAATCTCGTCCAAGAAAAAAAAGAAGAAAAGAAAGGAATAAAAGGGAGAATTCGCTAGAATTTCGTGGATCAGTTGTCCATTAGGAAATTTATACGATCCAGAGGGTGGTGAAAAGGTTGATTAAATCTGAGCTCCTCGGTCCAGGAAGACGTCCAAGAAGTCCTCTCTGATGAAATTGAAGAAACGATCCTCTCGTTGCGGCCGATCGTTGCGAAATCAAGGAGGGAGAGAGAGAGAAAGAGAGAGAGAGGAAAGGAGATAAAGGAAGTGTCGTATCAAGAGGAGGAAGAGGATCCTTTATCTGGATCCGCACAGGCCTCGCCTCGATGGAAAAAAATGTAATAGAATGGTAACAGTTCACACCCAAACTCGAAGGGAAGGGATAAGGCTCGGGCTTACCTTCGAAACACGGTGGAACGTTATCCAGCATCGAGATAAAACTCCTTTCTCCTTCGCAGATTGAATTAAATCTTTCTTCGTTTCGGTCTGGATACTCTCTCTCTTCTTAATTTAATTCTCCATTCATTATTTTGTATAATTAACGCAATCTACATGTGATCGATGAAATTTTTAAATCTTCTCCTCGAATTTCCAATGATCTTTGAATATTGGCGCAATTAGCCTTCTTCTTAATTTTTCTCGATTGTACCTGTTTGTTTCTTGCTTTAGAAGAGAATTTATTTAGAGTGTGAAATGTTTATGATACTTCGTAACATCGATGAGTGACAAATTGTAGATGAAAGAGATTTTATAATCGTAAATAATAGAATCATTTGTCGCGTTTATAAGAATTAAAAATTGTTTAATCGTTTTGTAAACAGTATGCGAGTATTCGATATAAAAATATCCTCCTTTCATGAAAAATCACAAAATCAATCAACAAATTCGTTACCAATCAATCATATTTTTTCCTTATTACGATTTCATAAAATATTTCATAAAATCGAACATTTCGCTCGATCCTTTAATTCCAAGAAATAAAAATTTTGTTTCCGTATAAAGGATCCTTTTTCCCCAAGTTATATATGAAGCGAGTAGAGGGATGGAAAAAGGGCGTTAACGGAGAAATGTAGCCAGGTTTCTCTCCGTGACGAGATCAATTCTATTTTGCGCGCTAACGAAAATGTCGTTGGCCGGGCATCAACTCCGTTTAAGCTCCCGGAAAGGTGATAAAATCAGTCGGATTTCCGGGGCTTTGTGTCTCGCGCCCTTCCTTCCCCGCTTTCCTTCGATTTTTCTCCCCCGTGGCGCCCGCCTCAACCCGCAATAATTTGCAATTTTTGCGCGACCTCGCCACTCGTATCAAGTTTGGAAATAACGTTTCCCAAGTTTCCGTAAACTCGAAACTCCATCCTCCCTCCCTCCTTCCTTCCTTCCTTCTTTCCTTCCTTCCTTCCCTCCCGTTGGAATTGGCCTAACCGTTTTTCCAACCGTTCCAAACAATTTAAGACACTTCGAAGTGTAAGCTCCCTCCCCGAGATTCGGTTCCCCTTCTTCTGTTTTAAGTTTGCGAGAAGGTATAACGATTCCCTTGGAGTAAATTAAAATTGTGAATACAAAGTTTGCGAGAAATCTGACGTATTTTTTTTTTTTTTTCTTTTAGAAAAATTAAAATTGCGTTCGAATATTTTTGAATTTCATCTTGATCGATGTTTTTTTCAATTCTTGTCGAGAGAAAGACTAGTTTTTAATTATTAGAATGTTGGTAAATGTTGGAATTTTTATAAAACTTTTAAATCCTTACAATAAATTTTCGAACGAAAATTATATTCAGGCGCAATTTTAAATTTACAAAGTAGTCGAGGTAGTAAATTTTCAATTATATTTTCATATTTCACTTTTAAATTCGTCTTTCGTTTCTCTTAATCAACAGGAAAGTATCGACAAAGGCTGACTACTAACAGATGCACCCTTTGTTCGCGTTTCTCACCGATGAAAATGAAAGGCGAACGACAGCCGACGCGTTTCTCGTGTTCGATTTCGAGGCGTGCTTTTACCACGTTTCCGGCAATCTGGAACGGCGGGGAACGTCGTTTCCAGTTGCACGAAATTCGCCACGGCCATTTCACGATCGATCTTCGAACGCTATCCTGTTTCGGCCGTCGCTCTTCCGCCCGCTCGCGTGATCTCGCCGCATTTTCTAGGTTTCCTTTTCGCGCCGAGGATTCGAAGTTTCGTCGTCGCGGCTTCGCTGCAATTGTTTCGTCCAATTTCATGCACGACACCAGTGACGCGGTTGTACGTAAGAATTGGAACGTTCTCGTTCCAAAATTAATGATAATTTTAATGATAATTTTTTTTTTTTAAAGATACACGGGAATTCGTCGAAATATCAATCGATAGTGGAGCAAGTAAAAAGATCGTACTCTGCGTTAATACGATCAGAGAAGCGAAGTGTTGAAGATTATGAAATCTGGCAATCGAGAGAATTGATCGAT